AGAGACAGGGGCGGAGCTAGGGGGACCCAGGGGGGCCATGGCCCTCCACTATGGTTCAGAAAATCTCAACTGTATTATAATTTTCTATGTAAATTTTCCTCTCCCCCACTCTCTACCTCAATGCTTTCCCTCCCTATGGGTCCATCCATACTTCATTTAGGTTTTGGCCCCCTTATAAAAATTTACTGGCTTTGCCCCTGCCGAGAGATTAAGTGTAGGAGACCATTACAGGGTTGATTACCTTATGTGCTTTATCTTACTTAAGTCCATTATCATTGTGTATTCAAAGGATGGCTGAATTCAATGATCATTTAAATGTAAATGTTGGGTCCTTTTTGAGCCCATAGTGATGTGCTTAGGGGTTCACTGCATTTAGTAGTGAATTTGGTCAAGCCTTTTCATAGAGGTTGGGTCGAACCCATGTGGACTTATGTGATGTCATTGTTGGGTCCCACACCATACAAATCAAGCCTAAGTTGGCCAGGCAACACCCTTGGTTCGTGAGCCTTATAGTTGATGGGCCTAAGGCCTATAATTAATATGATTAATTAAAATGTCACATGACAACTTAAATTGTCATGTGACATGGGGCAAATCTAGGTTTGGAAATGGGTATAGAGCACCCATCCTCTTAAGAGGATAAGGCTTATCTCTTAATAGAGTCTACATCCAAATTAGATTTGGATAATCTTCTAATTTGATTAGGAGAAGTTCTCTCTTCTTCTTTTGTCACTCAATAAACCCTAGTTCGACCATAGCTATTTTGGGACTAATAGATATCAGTTTTCTTTTGATTTTTGCAAGAAAAATTCAGAGGAATTTCATACTCACCTCCCCAGTTCGATCCAAGTAGTTGGATTGCAGTTTTGCTAAAAACTGCATTGTTGAACCAGCTTCAAAAATACACTACGCCATCTTCAGTGGAGACTGGTTTTAGGACTGATTTGGGCGAGAACTTCCACCTTGGGATCTATGTTTGTGGCATCCGTATCAGGTATACATCTTCCTCTTTGTTTAGGTTCAAATCTAGTCCAATTCAGTGCAAGACTAATTCTTGAAAAATGCAGTTTTTCAAAACATAAGAAATTCGATTCCTGTAAGGATTAGGAAAATTTTGAAATTTCGCCCAACCATCTAGCATGGTTTAGTCACCCATATGATGGATCTTTACCCTTCTTTCATCTACTATACAATTCTAGTCCCTTATATGTGATTATGAAATTGTTGGAATAGGAATTGTTCATAATCGGGAGGTAAAAAAAGGTCCTATCATTAATTGTTTCATTTCATACCATAGTCTTATAGTTTGCCTTCCTTGCCATTGTTGATTCCTCTGTAGTGGTCCTATGCAACAATCTTAACTTGTTGCTCTTCAGGTACATCCATTATCCCAAAGAATCTCTTTACTTCATAGATCTAGTTGAGGAAGGCTTCGATATCTAGATTCACACTGAAATTGGGGACCTCTGCTCTAATTTTTGATGTTTTTTCTACAATTTTTATTTTCTAATTTTGTTTTTCAATTTCTATAGTTTCTATAATTTGAAAATAATTTTTTATTTTGGGTGAAATTTCTAAAATTTTTTATATTTTTTGTGTTTTTATATGTATTTTATATTTGAAAATATTTTTTGAACTTTTTCGTTTTTTCATGTCTAAATATTAAAACATATGTATATATTTTATATTTTATATTTTTCTATAAAGGTTAAAATGGGAATATATTAACAGCCGTTAGTCTCTTTAACACCAAGTTAGTGACATATTGAGTTTTAGACATTTTGAAAAATTGTTGTGAGTTTAAGAGAAATGTTGGAAACTCATGGTGAATTTTTAACAAGTTAGGGATAAAAAATACTGCTGGCATCCCCCTGTTTTATAATGAACACTCAATCCTATTTCTACCAATACTAGGAATCTAAAAATTACCAAGTAGACTCCCTTACAAATTAGACTCAGGTAACCTGTTCACCTAGGAAATATAACCTATGTACATGTTTTCTTCTAATTACTCTTGTAATTGAGTGGCCAACTGCCCTACGTCAATATATACTAGGCCCATTAATGAAAATGTTATTCAATCCTTCTTTTATTCGATCTTTTACTTTTTATAAATTGTAAAAAAAATAAAAATAATAACACATACACTTGTCCCATATATACTAGTCCAGGCCTTGGATTTGTTATATCTGGTAATGCACAGAACTTACAAATGAGGGAGCGAGCAAAATGATGGAAAAGTATAAATTCACCTAACCCTACCATGCCATTTTGGTTTAAACTCAAAACACAAAAAAAAAAAAAGAAAAAAAAACAAGAAAGAAAGAAAGAAAGATTTGTTTTTATTGGACTAAATGGAATTTCAGAATTTGATCAGAAAACTTGAGATTTTGTCCATTAATTTCACTTGGGAATTTGAAATTCATATTATTCTTTAGATATAGAATTAATAACATAAATACAAGAATACTATAAGATACTAACAATGTCAATAAAATAATTAAATGTTTGCAAAACAAAATTTTAAAATTTAGAAAATTTAATTAATCACAAATAAAGGGTATGAAATGGCTGAATCTAAAACCTAGAATGGGATTGTTGAGGGCCTTGAGGCTCTTACCATGATATTTTTAAAAGAAAAATATCTTAATAAGATAGGATTTAAAAATTAAAATTATATATTTGAGTTGAGTGCATTGTCAATTGCAACTTCCTATACATGGGCCGTAGATATGCATGTTTCCCTATCTTCTTTTATGGGTGGGGCTGTGAGTTGTGACCCTGTGTTAGTGTTGCTTGAATGAAGGGAAAAGGCATGGAGTTTAGTACTTGTCCGAATTATGAAACTATGACCAATTAGTTCTGGGAATCGGGTATCCTATTTAAAGATTCAACTCCTCATAGGTCCGTACTCGGCGGACGGTGATGCTCCCACGTACCATTAATTAACCATTAATATAGGACATTCATGTATGTGTGCATACACCACCACCATTCTCTCTAAAAGAGGAATTGCTTTTTAGCTTCTAGCCTCACAGTAGCAGCAAACCAAACCCTTATTTAGTCCACCGTTACTGTTGTCTTTGATGAGAGAGAGAGCAGCAGCAGCAGTAGTAGCACAACCACCACCACCACCACCACCTGCCAAACAGAAATCGATGCATCACAGACTCCAATACCACAGCAGCACCAGAATTAAATAGCATGAGCATGTGATGCGAGGGTGGATGTGTTTACAGTTTACACGAACACGCCTTCCTTGGTTACAGTTTCCACCGTCGATCCAATATTACTTTTTCCATGCCCATGGGCCATGACAGCAACAAATCTCACCAAACAGTTGAAGCCCAATTTAACACGGACATGAAAAACTTTGACCCTCTTGTATCGACATCACAAGTTTAGTCACAACCCCACCTCTCAACTATGATCATCACAAGAATAGACTTTGTGTAATAAAAGAGACAGAGACCATACATTAGCCATTAGTGGTTCTTCTCTGTTTCTGACCTTGCTGTACCTGGCTTTAATTTCCATCCATCAATAATAGCTCACAACTGAAGCTTAACAATTCTTTCCCAGTTACAAATTTTTGGGTTGTGGGCTGTGTGGCCCATTTCAGATCACGTTGTCGGATAACACACGGCATGACGGCATGCAGCTTAGTAGAACAACATGGGGAGCGGGAGCGGGAGCGGCTCCTTTACGCTTATGGTCAAGAAATTATTAAGTTTCACGGATCCAACCAAATTCCTTCTCCTTCACTCTAGCTAGCTAGCTAGATTCATGGTAAAAACCAAAAAGAAACACACCCCAAATGCTGAAGAGCAACAGCAGACGACCACCTATGAGAAGGCACTCTATTATTTTGCTACTGCTAGTATATAGACCAATATGTGAAAGGTTGCCTAGTTCCGTCAGTCAGAGTCGTATTAGTGACTCGTGTCTACTAGCTCAAGTTTGAAGTATTCTATTACTTGGTACTTACTAACATGTTGTTTGTTTTCAAACCATGGCACAAAAAAGCTGGAAATTAATGAGCTGAAAAATGAGAGAGATCACTTTGTAGTTGAGGGCCGGCGTGAGCTCCAGATGGAAAACCACCAAAATTAAAGACTTTGAGTTTGAGTTGAGGGAAAAATGGAAGAATTAGGGTTAATATAGAAGGATCGATCGCCATCTTTATGTTCCTTAATTTCTTCTTAGAATAATAAAAGGCATTAACGATTCTTCACAGACATGCTTGACTCCGCCTCTCTGCATCACATTCTTCACAGACTCAACTCATTCACATCCATCTCACAAATCAATCTGGATTCTAGACTGTATATCCTTCCAAAAGACGACATGCTTGATGCTTGTAAGATTTAATTAATATAGAAAATGCAAGAGAGGGTGTACCTACCCTCGACATTTAAAGCACTGCAGATTAACAGAGCGAGGACACAGTGCATCCATCATTTATCCACCTACCCAATTGTTAATGAGATGAAAACCGTGAAGTAAAAACACATCCGAATCTCCACTTTTTAAAAAGGAAAGGACCCCCCAGGTGCTTATAACCTAACCTCACTTTTTCTTTCCTTTTTGTTCCCTTCTTACGATGACTACATTTTTTATTTTTGGGTAATCGACGAAGGATCATGGGTAATCGCAATACATTTGCAAGCTTTAGTATTTAGTATTGTTATTTTTTTAACGACCAAGGATCATGGAATTCATAGATTAAGCCAATTAATTAAGATTGAAAAAGAAGGTACATATGCAGATCATAGTAGTAGTGTTAGGTTTTGGGGGTTAAGTGAAATAGGAGAAATGTATTGTTAGATGAATATATGACTCTATACCTTTAATGAATTACGATATTCAATGGAGAGAGAGAGAGAGATAGGTTGCGGGCTGAGCCCAGTCAAGAAAACCCAGTTGTGAAACGTTAGCCCCATTATATTTGGGGAGTTCATCTCAGAGTGAAATCAAATGTAACAGCGAGGAAGAATCTATTTCAAACAAAGCCACCATGTGATGTGACAATTAATTACCACAAGTTGAGAATCAAATGAGAGAAACCGATCAAGTAGAATCTAAGACAAAACCAAACCACTCGTTTCTACTTTTATCAGGAAGCATCATGACTAAACGTAAAAAAGCAGCAGCAAAAAAAAAATACAGGAAAAGATTAACTACGACAGCACTTGGATACATTAAAATTAAAAGCAAATGTTGATGAGAAAGACCCAATGGGATTACATAAAACACTCCCCCCAACCTCTCCTCCCAAAGACATCTTATCTACAATTCTTTGGGTCCTCAACTCTCTGTCTCCCACACACAATGGCACACATCTGTTTCTTTGGTATCGAAGAGAAAAGAAAGCAAGGAGAGAGGCATAGCAAGAGCCAAGGAGACGGGACCTTCAGACTGACTTGAAGAAACAAAATTCATTATTATTAAAATTACTGTTTGGCGACGCGAGTGATGGAAGCGGCATGGACTCTTGAAAATTTAGACGTGAGGGTTGCTCCTGAAGGACCCCAGAGCTTTAATGGCTGCTGCTCTCAGAATGTACTGATGATAGAGCGCTGCGAGGGCAGCTCCAGTGAAAGGTCCAACCCAGAAGATCCACTGCAGGCCCACAAAATATTCAAAAGAAAACAAGGTTACAATTACCCAGTCAGAAACACCAGAGGTCCAATTCAACTATAGAAATTAAGGAGATTAATTAAAAGTTAAAACGTACATGGTCATCCCAAGCCTTGTCTTTGTTGTAGATGACAGCGGCTCCAAGACTCCTTGCCGGGTTAATGCCGGTTCCGGTGATTGGGATGGTGGCCAGGTGAACCATGAACACCGCGAATCCGATGGGGAGCGGCGCCAAAACCTTATGGAACGTAATTAAAGTTTGAACAAGTTATATTTAAGAAAGGGAAACACTTATAAATAATTAATTCCTAAATAATAAATTTATATTATTTATGCCCAGTACAGCACCGGAGGAAATACGTAGCTCCGTCAGTAACGTAAAAAAGGGAGTCGGCCACCGGGTGACCGGGGGGGATCTTTGTATGTAACAAAGTTGATGTTAGAATCAGTTGAGACGGCTACCGTGCACAGGTGCTTAACGGAGCAGCAAACCTACACCTGGTCAATAGACGGACCAAGCAAAAGCCAGGGAGTGGCAAGATAGGAGGAGGCACAAGCACGAAACATCCACTAAAATGGAGGATCCCCACAAGCAAAAGCTGTGAGGTGCCGGTGAGAAAAGCGACCCACCGAAGTCAGAAACAATCTTTAGCCTTTTCTTTGCAAAAGAGATGAGCCCCATCCATGCCAGAGCCAGTATAACATAACAGCCACAAAAAGAGAAAACGGACCACCTCCCACTGGGCCATGGCCAATTACAATCTTACAGTATGTGGACAATCCATGTTACTGAACATGTGTCCGCATGCTACTGAGCAGTAGTTGTACTATTACTGCCAATAGGCAAACAAATAGTCTGTCTTTGCTGCTCGTAACAGCTAGCTGTAGCTGAAAAGGAAAGAGGAAAGAGGAAAGAGGACAAGGGAGGGTTTCTCAAACTGATTACCGGGACATGGGAGTCTCTGGCGTTCCTTTTGGGATCAGTGGCGGAGAAGACCGTGTAGACGAGGACGAAGGTACCGATGATCTCGGCCCCCAATCCAACGCCCTTACTATATCCAAGGGCTAATGAGTTTGCTCCACCACCGGAGCGCATGTAGTAAGCCTTCTGGAATCCCTTAACCAGCCCAACACCGCAGATGGCCCCCAGGCACTGTGCCACCATGTACATCACGGCTCGGATCAGCGACACCTTACGCGCCAAGAACAGCCCGAACGTCACCGCTGGGTTAATGTGCCCTCCTGCTCACCGTATAAAAAACCCATTAGATTAGACACCTTCTTCACGGCTTCAATTTTCTTTTAAAGAATTAAAAAAAAAACAAAAACAAAAACAAAATAAACAGATAGAATCAAAGAAAGTAATTAAAGGAATTGTGAAGGCCCGGGTTCTTCTTCTTCAGAAGCAAAAAATACGTCTAAAAGTAAAAGCAAAGTAATAATTCCAAAATAAAATGATATTTCAGAATTAAACTGAACTGGCAGAAGGTTGAGAGAGAACTAACCAGAGATACCGGCAGTGCAGTAAACAAGGATGAAGATCATGCCACCAAAAGCCCAAGCGATGCCAAGGATGCCAACTCCTTCACAATCACCACCGTTGTGGGCTTGGTCAGTCTGGCTTCTGTAACCGATGACCGTCAACACAGTAATGTAGAGAAACAAAAGAGTGGCAATAAATTCAGCGATGAGAGCCCTGTAGAAGGACCACTTGGTCAATTCCACGGCATCGATCAAAGGCGTCGGAGGTGGGTCGTGGTAGTCCTTGGCGGAGAAATGGCCGTGTTCAGCAACCTCAACGTCCTTCCCCATGCCGTAACGAGTGCAAGAGCTCGAAAACAATAAGTTTTCAAGAGATGGGAAAGAAAAGGAGAGAGAAGGCACTCGTTGTTATGCTTGGATGGGAGTGGGAGTGAGTGAGAGGAAAGTAAAGTGGGAAGGGGTATTTATTCTGGGGGAGTCTGAGGAAAAAGAAATTAAGGTTTATTAGGTTGATTTTGCCGCCCCTGCTCCCACTGAAATCGATTTTTGTCCCTGTTTCATGGGCATGGGCCCCTCTCTAGCCCTCTGAGTCTGAGGGGTCCCCCCACCATCTCTCTCTCGTATCATATTTCCTTCTTCGTTCTTGCTTTTTATCGTTCATAGTAACTTCTCTCAGTTCTCACCTCACCTTTCAATACCCCTAATAAATTAACAAAAAAAATGAGGTTTTTATAGGTCAATCCACCTCAAAATATTAATTTTACCGTACAGGCCAGATGTGTCAAATTTACGGCCAGATACGATTTATAGGAGGCTACTAGTAGACTAAAAGTGGACTGCGATTTCAGATTTTCGGACCCTATGTCAAAATGACTATTATCACCTCATATAATGAGGTGATTTCAATGCCATCCAAATACCCCCTATCAATGATAGCTCTAATAACCTTGTGCTCCAAAGGATCTTAGGAGAAGGAAAATTAGATGGGTTAAGGTGAAAATTTCCAATCCATTATCATTATAAATTAAATATAGATGGTGCTAATAGGGGGGAACTCGGGTGATAGTGGTGGGGGTGGAATTATTAGGGATTCTTAGGGAGGTTTTTGCTTTGCTTTCTACAATTTTATGGTTATACTTCCACCATTCAAACCGAGTTTTTTGAATCTTCTAGATGGGTTAGACTTTTGTCTCCAATTTGGAATCACTGAATTAAAAATAAAGAGTGACAATGAGGTGTTAATCGGCATCATTAACGGGACAACATCTCACCCATGGTCAATTGCCTATACTTATATAAAGATCAAACGAATACTTGGTAACATGAGGTATTTTATTGGTCACTCGTTGAGAGAAGGAAATAGGTGTGCAGATTACCTTGCAAATGTGGGTGTGGATTTGAAAAGCAACGCAACTTTTAATTCCCAACTTTATACCCCACCAAATCTTAAAAGGCTGTGGCATGAGGATTATGTTAATCTTCCCATTATGAGAATTGGTTAATTGTATTTTTTTTAATTTCCTTGTTAGGGTGGATTTTGAGAGGGTGGTAATGAGTGCTTTTTGTATTGGGCATGGGGCAAGGCGGGCTATGTCCTCCCCTGTATATTCTGACTTTCCATTTGATAATGGTTAATAAAATTTGATAAAGTTAACCATTATCAATGGTTAACTTTTAACGGTTTAACCTATTTCTTCAATTATTACGAGATAAAGGTGATTATTTATTTATTTACTAGTGGGTATCCGTGCGATGTACAGTTTTTTTAAAACTTGATGCAAGAGGAGCTAAGGTGCAGTAGAACTAATCCGAGTCCCGATCCAAGTCAATCAAAGATTTTGCATTGGTTTGGTTTTAGTTTTCAAACTTCAAGGTAAATTTAGGTCAAAAAAATTGAAGTCTAATCTAAATTTAGGTTGAGCTTCAGTTGAGTGTATTGGTAGCTCGAGTCCGATTCATCAATTTGATTCCGCCCAACATCTTGTAATATACATATCTACATATTATCAATATATTCTACCTAAAAAGGGGCTGCAAAGTTCAATACATCCAATCCTAAGCCCAACCCAAGATGTTGGGTTGAAGCACAGGTTAAGGCTAGGTTGTTAAGAGAAAATTTATTGGTAATCTTCAATAATTACTTACTAATATATACCAAAAATAGAATGACAATAATTACAAATAATTTATAAACCCAAGCTCGAGTTTAACAACCGAAGGTTAAGCCCATGTTTACCAACTTAGGCCCAACCCAAGTTTAACCTAACATCTTGAACTAGACTTGGGCATGGGCATAGTGACTAGTGAACTATATAGCCTAGTCTATCATAAAATGTTCGCATGAGCTCAAATGGGTTGGATCGAGCTCGAACTACTCGAGGCCTCAACCCAAGCCCAACTTAAGTTTAGGTTAGTCTTGAGTTTTTTGGCCTAAACCCAGTTTAAAGTTCGAAAACCCAAGCCCAACTTGTGCAAAAGTTTTGGTTGAGCTAGGCCGGGCTTGGGCTAGGCCCACCCAACCCAAGCTACAACCCTAGCTCTTTTTGCTTCAAAATCTTTTAACAAAACTCATGCATCTCACGGGTCCCCGCTTGTAATTAATAGCACTAATTTTAATTTACAGTTATTAACAATAATATTAATTACTAAAAGCAATAATATTTAAAGGTATTTTTAATTATTCACAAAAATAATGAATAAATCTATAATTACCATTAATAATTCTTAATTATGAATTAATAAATCTTATAATTCTTATTTTATAAAAAATATTACTATTGTTAATAGTAATATTCACTAATATTATTAATTAATAAAACCAATATGATAAATTATTAAAAAGTAATAAAATAATTAATTTAATTATTCGTGTAAATAATTATTAAATTTTAATCACAATAAAATAATTAATTATTATTGAAATTAGTTAATTTTTTGGTAATATGTCACTAACATTAATAATTAAAAACAATAATATATTTTGGTATTAAACTTTGGTAATTCTGAATTAATGATGAATATATAAATAATAGAATTTTAATTGAATCTTGGGAGTTTTTAATTAATCCTAATATTAAAATAGTAATAAAAATAGTTAATTTAATTATTTATGAAAACAATCATTAATTTTTAAATTTTAATATTGATAAAATAATTATTTATTATTTGTAATTAATTAATTTTGGTAATATATCTTCAATATTAATTACTAAAAAAGTAATATATTTTGGTAATTCTTAATAAAGCATGGATATAAAAAATAGATTTTAAGTGAATTTTTGTATTTTCTAATTAATCCTAAAATAATTAATTAATGTTGGTAAACTATTAGTAAACTGTCGAAAATATTTGTAATTAATCCTAAAAATATTAATTATTAGAAATAGTAATATTGTTTGGGAATTTTTAATTAACCACAAAAACAATTAATTAATTTTGGTATGATTTATAATAAAATAAAATGAAATTATTAATTATAAAACAATATTTAATATACCATTCAATGTAAATGGGTTGTCGTAACTGGGTTGGATTAATGAAAACCAAACCATACCGGATCGAGTAGTGTGGAGAGAGAGAGAGTCATGTCTTAGTTAGAAGTGGGGATTAATTAAGAGTATAAAAAAATAGTTAGTTATGAGCAATATTTAAAGAATGGGGAGAGGTTTCAAGAATTAGGAGATAACGTTTCTTAAATAATTGGAAAGTTCGGTTAGAAAGGGAGAGAGAATAAAAGTGGGGAAATGAGAGTTTTAAGGACAATAAATTAAGAGTGTGGATAGATTTTAGGAGAGAGGGGATAAAGAGAGAGATTTTAGGAATGTTTTTAGTAAGAAAATTTTAAAGATTGATGACTTGTAGTTTGGGAGTAGTGGGAAGGGGGAGGGAGAGACAATTAAGGAGAGAGCAACATGTGGGTTTCGAGCAAAGAGAGACATGGTGACCTGTACCACCTTGCTTTATATAAATAGATAGATAGATGGATGTGTAAATACTATATTAAATAGATAACTAGCGGGGACCCTCGATGCATGAGATTTGTTAAGGAAAGCTAAACAATAAAACACAAAAGAGTATACAATTGTTTTATATTTCTAACTTTTAAAATAATGATTAATTATTTATATTTTATAATACTTTTTATAATACAAAAAATAACAATAATTTATTTCAGCTAAGCTTGTTCATTGAATTGATGAAACCAACTAACCCGACCAAGTCGACCCGAATTGCTAAGTTAGTTTCTAATATTTTCGATTGAAATTGGGATTAGTTTCGCAATGGCTATATGTAAATTGACCAAAATCGAATGACCTAATCACAGATATATATATTAATACTTTTTTTAAAATATAATTTTTTAATACGACAAAGTGGGAAAATTCCCATATTTCTTAGTCTCAAATATTTTATATTATAAATTTATTTTTTAGTAATGTTAAGGTAATTTTTAAATTTTAAAATTAAGTTTTCAATGTAATCTTTTAAACCAATTGAGCAAACAGAAAATCAACCCAAACCAATACAACCTGATTTAGTTGGTTATACTAATGGTCAATAGATTTCGGATAACCAATTCTCCAACCTGATCATGTTGATTTGGTTGGCCAAATAGCCTACAAATGAACTAAACCAGGTCATGATCAACACTCCTAATTTCATCTAAATTAATATTTTAATCTCTAATAAATAAAAGTAGTTTAATCTCCAATAATTATTAAAAATTTATAGCGTAAATGCAAAATGATTGAAAAATATATTGATAATGAAAAATAAATAAATAACTAATAAATTAAAATAATTACAAAAATAGTAAAAAATATATAAATTAGTCAATAAATATTGTAATCTCAAATAATAGTTTAATATCTAATAAATATCAATGATTAAAGTACAACAAAGATACAATAAATACAATAAGTATAATAAATTAAATTTAAAAGGTTAAATAATGGTAGTTTAATATCCAATAATTATTAAAAATTTTCTGTTAAATAACAAAACAAATATAGATTTATACATAATTATTGAAAATATATTTATAAAAAACTATAAATGATTGCTGAAAATACTAAATATTAATTTTAGTATATTAAATATATAATAATTATATGTTAAGATTTTAAACTCATTATTAATTTGGAGAGAAATTCTCTAGTAAATTAGAGATAAGTAGGAATTGGAGATGATTTAGGAGAAAGTGGGGGAGATAGTTTAGGATAAATTTTAGTTGAGGAGATTGTTGGGGAAGGAGAGCATCTCATTGGTTTTTTAAAAAAAATGACATGGAATAAAAGAATAAAAAATTCAAAAAAAGGAGAAAATTTCTT